TAGCACATCTTACAGAAGAGTTAAAGACAGGGAGAAATTAAGTTCACTTTTCTTTTCGTTAGTATCAGTTTCAGGGCCAATGTTTAAAATTGTATGCTAATTTAAACAGTATAATATTTCTATATCTCTAAAAGAAAAATTAAGATATCTAAGCAAATTCATAATGTCTTTAACAGAGTCAATTACCTGCCTATATTAATAGCACATTGCTAGATGAAATCTGTTTCAATTCTTTTGAAACTAAGAATTATGCAGGACAAATATATCTTAGTGTGTACATGAGTATTGAATTTCATAGGTACACTTTATCACTCACTCAGTGTTGAATTGTCAGGCATGTTTTAGCTAATCATTTTCCTGGCTCCCATAGATGATAACTGAACTCTGTTTTTAAGTTCCTGTAAATCACTATTTTGTGAAGTGATGTCTTTCTAGCCAGTTTCTAACCTCTGACTAGTATTCATTTGAATTTTCCTCATATACCCCACTGGATAAAGCTTTAACACAACTTGTCAATGTCTATTCAATTAAATATAAAAACAGGTGTCTCAGATACTGTGTCTAAATATCTTCCTGAGTCTTATTACCTACACCAAAACTTCATGTGCCATGCACTCTGTTCCATGAACAGAATGACTTTACTCTTCATGCAACTCAGTGTACACTCCTGAGATTTTTCATAACTTTATCCAGAACTCATAACTGTTCTGTATTTCTGAAGTGGTTTCTGAATTCATTTACCATGCACCACTCTGAACACAAGATGTATAAACCTATCTTGCTCCACAACTAAACAGTAAGCTCTTAAATCCAGTATATCTTACCTGCCAATATAGCCCCTACAGTAACAAATATAATTATATGAAAATTTACTATAATTATAGTAAATATCAATACAGTTGACAAAAGTGTATCTGGATTGCTTCTTTTTCCCAACTCTTCCTACATTATTTATGAGTTCCTGCAACTTTCATCTGTCCTAAATCACTAATGTCTATCTCTAGGTAGCTGGGAGGATGAAGAGGAGTATGCTGCCATAAGCAACAATACCAAGTATTCAGTTTATTTTCGCCTTTCCTATGTTTCTGCCTTCTGGTGCTTCCAACTTCTTTTCCTGATATTATCCCTTTACCCAAGCCATGTCCTCACACTCACATTCCCTAATGCAGAGATGTGCAGTGAGGTATAGAGCTCTCCTCACTGAATCTAACGAGTTTCCTCACAGTTCTAAAATCATCTCCAGATGATTTTTATAACAATTACTTTCTCACTAAAGCTTCAACTTCCTCTACTTATTCCACACAAATTTACACTCATGAAGTATTTTCAAAACCACGGAAAACTTTTGAGTAACCTAAATGAAAAAACATTCAAAGTTTCATGTGTGTTAAGGGAATTATTTATAGCAAGAACTTCCTTGTCTTTAAACTGCTAGGCTTGATTCTCAGTAAGTCTGGTCCTTGTCATTGAAAAAATAAAGACATCATATTTTATTAGCTCTAGTTCATTTTAGCAGAGAACCAAAGGAAAATTCAGCTATTTCTCCATTTCTTTGTTCAATCAACTTTCTCTGTCAGTCTTCAAAATTTGGCTATTCAAGTCTAATATATCTAATGATGGAAAAATGACTCATGTCAATGATTTCTACCATTTCATATCTGCATAAAAATCAGTAGATTTCCTAAATGTGTTTTTACATATCCTACATCAGTTGATCCTTACTACAGTCTTGATGTTAAAATAAGGCAGGCATCATGTCTCTTATTTTTGTAGATGAAAATGAGGCCCTGAGAGCTAAAGGAGACTATTCAAGATCACACAGCTAGTGATATGCCTATCTAGTATTCAGAACAATTTTTGTGGCTTCAAGTTAAGGACGTTTTGCCACTGCATTCCTTCCTCATGAGGGCTCAAATCATTGCTGCAGTGTGTTACAACTGAACAGGTAATTCCACAATCTAAACTGAAGATGCCAGTGCTCAATTTTTTCTAGGTTTTATAATCACTTTTCATGCATGGTCCTTGCATTTGACACATGAGCACTCAAGTATCATTCTTCACCAAAGAGTCAATGTAGAACCTGTTTCAGAGGTTTCAGGGTAATCAGTTGGCTAACTCAACTGCTTGTTATACTTGATCTCAATAGCTATTCTGAAGCTGATTACTCATATTCATACTTAATCTACCTTTACTTGCTTAACACTCTAAATTTTCTCCAGGTTACTTTCCTGCACAAAACCCAGCCATAGATTCCATCATAGGAAATTCATAGTCTCACCTAACACTATCCTGCAAAAATCTTACTTAAAAGGTTCTTAGTTTTTGAGATTAAAGGCCTTCCCCAAAATTTTTAGCAATTCCAGACTTGGCCTACTCTATAAGCAAACAAGTGTAAACCACTAAATATTCAATGTACCTTACTACATTGACAGAAGATAACTGAACTGTAAAGTTTAGAGCTAGCAAAGTCTGCTGAACTACTCTAACTAAAAAATTTAGCACTATATTATGTGAGCATAATTTGTATTTTCTGAACTCAGTTAGTGAGGAGACAGATAAAAAGATAGAAACCTTTCCTATATACTAACTCCAGTAGTTTCCATTTTATACATTCTATTTTGAATGTTTAATTTGAAAGTGAGGCTAGTTTTCTTCTTACAAACTAATCCAATGTAGCTCCCTTATCCTATAAAACACTGAAATAGTTGTGCAGAAAAACTATGTTATCTCTGTCACTGAGAAAGTTATACTTAGAGGTCAATCTTCTAAATCCATTGTTCTTTCTGCTAAAGTTACTTTGCCAGAATCTGAACATCTCTATGAAGATTTATTAGTGTTAAGCATATTTTATAACTACAATAAAATTTTTGTGTGTTTGCAAACACATATTTCTTAAATAAGTATCTTTATATATCCTTGTGTCCTTCCACAGTCTGTAGCACAATGGAAACTCAATATATTTCGCTGATGCACTGGATAAATAAGGACAATTCATTAGATACCCTGTTTCTCTGTTTTCTTTTCACGCTCATTGTAAAGCATGATTGCCTCTTCAAAGAATCCACATGGAATCACTCTTGCATTGAGTCATCTTTACTACTTCAGAGAAAATGGCATACTTTGAAAAGGAGAACTGAGACTGTTTTGTCTACTAATATGTAAATGAAAATATTGATTTGCAGTATGTTATGCCTTGCTTTGGAAGGAAAAATAAAAACAGTGAAGTAAATGGTTTATGTTACTCATGATTTCCATTATTCAGGCAAAATATAGAACAAAAGCTAACAAACCTTTGTTGGTTAAAAACTTGCCTTAGCTAAAAATACATTTCTGTGGTAGAGGATAAAGTGTTCCGATGTTTTAACATAGTATCTGTGAGTCACAAGCTTGTAACATATTTATTGGAAAATGACATCTTGTTGTAAGTATTTTATACTTTAGTAATGTATTAAAATTATATATAAATGATTGAAAGAATACAAAACATAGCAGTTGGTAGCAGTTTTAGGTAATTGAACTAGAAGTACTCTGTTTGCTTAAGTATTATCTACCATGCTGATATCTCTAGAATTAAATGCATTTAAATAGCAGGGTAAACACAAAAAATAACTACAGAAAAGTAAAGTTCCATAGCCTATTAGATTTTGAGCAAGGGATAATTACTATAAATATGCTTTGGGGAGGTGAGTGTTAAAGATAATTTTTGTTTTCTGCTTTACGTGACAGGATCTCACTATGTATGACAGGACAGCCATGAATTTACTATGTTGCCCAGACTGGCCTCAGACTTGTGGCTATCCTTCTGCCTCAGCCTCCTGAGTGCTGGGATTACAGGTTTGTGCCACTATGCCTGACTAGATAATTGTTCCATGTGCATAATTCCTCATATCACCTTACATGTATTTTACTTTCTACATCAAACAGATGTATTTATATAACACTATGGTCAATTGTTAATGCCCTGGAAAGTGTAAAACCTGTGAGATCGTGATATTATTGGGTGTCCAAACCTATGAAAATAATTTTGAACAATTTTTCTATGGATCAGTATTTACCTGATAGTTTGCATATTTTTCTAGAAATATTTAGTATTTCCAGCAAATATTTATGTGCCTAAAACATATATATCTTTACATATATTTTATATTTGAAAGCATATAACATGCCATATTGAAAAATCTGCCAAACTACCTTACATACATGTAGAGTAGTTCTTTACATTCCAGACCTTTCTCTAAGAATTAAAATTAAGTAATGTGCATTCTTATACTTTTGCAAAGCACTAAGAACATAATATTTTGGCTTTATTAAACATATATATATATAGGCTATCATGCAAAATGCTATACCCTCTTGTTCGTCACTAAATAGAATAATGATAAATAGATATGTAAAATTACAAAAATTAGGATATAGAAGCTTTCCCCTGATTTGTTTTCATGGCTTGAGTCTTTCATTAGTCTAATGGATTTGGTCGCAAAGTGTGGAAGTAGCAAAAGCAAGAGAATATATACGGGCACAACAAGCAAAGAGGAACAAACACCCTACATCGTGCCGATGTACAAGGCCTCATTTTGGCTATTTGTTCTACAATATACACAAGCAATAATATGTTTAGCAAAATATTTTAATATCAATAGTGCTTTCTTTAGGTAGATATCATTTGTGCTTTTTGGGGTTTGGCCTGCAGCATGCTATTTGTTTGTTTTCTGTAGGTTAGCCCTGAAAATACAAATGTAAACCAGAGCAGAATGCAGTTCTAGAATAGCTGTGGCAGGGAAAAAAGTGAGAGTGGAAAAGAGAGGGAAAGGAAGAAAGTGGAAGATAGAGATTGACATCTGCTGTGATAGTCAGTGGTAAAATTTCCTTAAATACATTTTGGCCTTCATTTTCTTTTCGAAAACCTTGCCGTGAGGGTTGTTTGCCCCTCTCAGGGCACTGCGAAACCTTCGCAAGAGACCATTTAGCACTAGTTTCCACCTTCGAGTAGATCTTCCTACCTTTCCAGTCTTAATTCTGTGAGAAATGGCTGCAAATCGATGGTTGAGCTCTGAGATTTTGGGCTCTACTAGTTTCCTGCAGTGCTCGCCGCGGTTTGCCATCAAGTTCGCTGCTTGGTCACGTGTGGAGTCCACCTTGGGGTGTATGTCATTCATTTCAGCCTTTAAACGCTATATTTCATGAGCAAGAAACAGGGCTTGAAGTTAGTAATGGAAAGAGGGGGGGAGAGAGAGTGAGCGAGCGAGTGA